CAATAATAAAATAATATTTTGTATTTACTAATATATTTTAAATTAGATTAATTATATTAATTTAAAAACTGAATATTAGATTTTAAATTTTGAATGAAAGTGAGTCAACTCTTGTATTTTAAAATCGAAATACATTTATTAAATCAAGAAAGAAAAGCTCATTTGACTTATAAATACAATGTGAAATTAATAAAATAGAAATAAAAACCACAAAATGTCATGTGAAAAATATTTATTTGAAAATAACCAAAAAATAAAATGTGACAAAGTTAATGAGAGTCATTTATTAGAGTAGATATGTTTGCCAAAAGTAGCTTATAGTAGCTGAAATCTTGATGTTGGAAGCGGGAAATTATAACTTTTATTTGTATAGATATATTTGAGAAAAATATATCTACGCTTTTCAAATATTGTTCTTAGTCTTCTTCGGTCCTATTCAACTATTTCTTATCATTCCTCATTCCAATTTTAGATCATCAAGTTCTCTACTTTAAGTTGTGACATATTACAAACTATAAATAATTCTTTATAATAACATTGCAAGTTGTTGGCGATTAGATTAAACAAAGTGGTTGATTCTATAAGTCGTCAAATTCTTGATAACCCTTTGGATATGAATGAGGTGGTTAGTTGGGTAAACAAACTCAAAGAACAACTTCTTATTTTTAAAATCGATTTTAGAAAAGAGTACAATACTATTTTATAAGATTCATTGCTCAACTTTTTTTTTTGCATCGTAATGGTTGAGATGAGTCTCAACTTGTCTTTATTCAACCCAAGCTTTTGTTTTGGTTAATGGTGTAATGCCCAAATCTTGAGGTACTTTATGCTTTTAATTTTTTGGCATTTTAGGGTTTCCACGGCGTGGTGGAGGCACCACCACGACGTGGCGAGGCAAGTTGGAATGTGTGTTTCATTTAAGTCGCCACGACATGGCAGCAGGCTGATGGAAGACCTTATTTTTTTGGGTTTTCTCCATATTTAAAGGAATGAGGAGGCAAGAGTTTGCTCACCCTCAGCCTCCTAAAGATCTGGAGAAACCCTAATCTCCTTCCTCCATTGTTGAAGCCCTTTTAGTGTTCTTGGAAGTTCTTGAATAAAGAAGGAAGAAGAAGTGAGCTAAGATTCAGCAAACAAGTCTCCATTCTTCACCCTAGCACTCTTCTGGACCTTTGTAAGTGTCCAAGACTCGATTTTTATCATATTAGGTTGCTAGATCTTGAGTTTTGTCCGTTAAGCTTCATGTTCTTGTTAGTTGGAGTGGTGAGATCTCATAAAGTTTGCAACTTTATGAATCTCTGGAACATTGGTATGATTGTTGGTTTGGTTCATTATGGCTTCAAGACATGCATTGGACATGTATGTCTATAAAGCACCAACTTTTATGTTAGTTTGGCGTTTGAAACCCTTCTGGAGTTAATGGGCTAATGATTTTTTTTGGAATAAGTGCTTAGTGGATGAATCCATGTCTTGTTTAGCGTTTTTGGAACCTAGGGTTTGAGAGTTTTTCAAATGACTTATTAACTTATTGACTTTTCAAAAATTCAGTAAGTTAAAAAGTGTTTGGTAAATACCGGATTTTTAGTATAAAAAATAACTTTTTCAAAAAGCCAGTTAAAAAGTGTTTGGTAAATACCGGATTTTTAGTATAAAAAATAACTTTTTCAAAAAGCCAGTAATTCCTGGTTTTTCCCAAAAGTCAATAAGTTGATTGAAAAGCACTCAAAACATCCCCTTGGTTCATGTCCCATTTTTAAATACTTGAAATTGTTAATAGAAAACTAAATCATTGTTTGCACAACTCTTTGGGTACGTGAAGGTAGTACGAGAAAGATTAGTTGAATCAAATGGAATAATGTGTTGGCAAGTAAAGATAAAGATGGTCCCGAGATTGGTAGTATAAATGTGTTTGACGAGGCACTCCTCCAAAAATAGTGTTGGAGGTTTTATTCTCATGACTCGACATTTTATTCTAATGACTCAACATTATAGGTCTCTTGCATTAAAGCTATTCACGATGTAGAAGAAGGATTCAGTCATCTAGCTAAGCAGTTAAAGGTTAAAGGTAATTATTAATTAAATGCATCATAAGTGGGCAGTTAAAGGTTAAAGGTAATTCGTTTTAGATAGTAGGATCTATTAATCACATGCATCATAAACGGACAGTACCGCTTTTGGCTCAATTAAAAAATGTATTAGAGATGGAGCAAAGAATAGGTTCCGAAGGAATATTGGATTCGAGAAGATTTGCTTATGAATTGCTTCCTAGACTTTTCTTGGTTGAAACATATCATGGTTGTTCATGTTATAGATTGTCGAGGATTAAATGGTTGGATTTGGCCTATATGTTGGAGGGAGTGTCTTTGGCCTATATATGGGGAGTTGAAGGTTTCACGGTGGCTTCGGTTGGGCAACATATTTACGATTTATGTATGGATGGTAGCTATATTCCCATGAGATGTGTAGATTTGTCCCAAGAAAAGTCAGTAACTATCTCCTAGTAACTATCCAAGTATTCCAAGCAAATACATAATTTAAATATAAAAATACTAGAAAATATAAATTGCAGTATAAGTTAACTAACGATCGGTCCTACCTTGACAATGCAATGAGCCTTTGCTGTATTAATTAGCAAAAAGTATGCACTTTTGAAAGGACATGCCATTTGAAAGGTCTGAATTTGCAAGCCCCATGTGGATGCTTTTAGAATTATAAAGAAAGTGATTGTTACTTAAAAAACATGAGCTTCTTGCTTCTCCGCCACAAGTTCCTACTAAAAATCAAGAGACGCTAAACAGCAATCTCTTTCTTAACAAGCTCATACGCTAAACAGCAATCTCTTTCTTAACAAGCTCATAGATAGTAACAATTTTCCAGATATGTAAATATTTAAATGTCTTATATTTGACGCATCCTCTTTACCTAGGGGTGGAGAAATTTTGGCTACACCTCATATTCCGGTACCCCCATTACAACGAATTTATGTATTATGATTGTTCTGAAAATACGTTTTTCCTATACAAAATTTTGCCAGTTATATTAAACTCATATTTTTGGGTTGTCTATTATGCTATTTTGTATGCCATAATATATGATTTTATGTTTGTGATATAAACAGAAAAGAAAACTTCTTTTGTACATAATGAATATTTGTAAAAATATCAGGATATTAAATTGACACGTCTAAAAATGATTCTCACCCTTTTATCAGTATTAACAATCTTAAAAAATATTTCAAATAATTAAACCGACACATCTCAAAAGGAGACAAAGAGGCACACAAGCATTAAGTTAGTGACAACCTTTGTCTTTTCCTTTCATTCTATATAAAACTCAAGGCTATAACTTCTACTTCCTGCTAACAAGTAAGAACTCCTTTTTTGTAAACATTCATAATTTTGTTTATTATTTGTCGTCCTACGTTGCCCCATATGTCTATCAAACAGTTCTTACTTTTCTCATGCAATTTTTAATGGCCTGTTTTCATTGTTCCCAAAATTGGTTATAACATTGCTTTCCAAAAATACTATTCATGGTAATTTTCTATTAAAAATAAGTTTTTCATCTCAAAGTTTCAAAAAAGTCCCCTATTAGTTTTAGCTTTTAGAATTAAACCGAAATCTTGGAGACTAGAATCAGTAAAGAACTTTTAGAAATGTGGTTAAACATGTTACTATAACATTGTTGTATACAAAAATACTTAATTAGTCCTATATTTGTGACACCGATATAAATCTTTTTTAGATCTGTTCCAAACCAAAACTGTTATATAGGATTGTAAAACAAAACCGTAAATGTGAATAAGTTTTTTTTTTTTTTTGGCATAAGGATCACCCAACCATATCCATAATAAATGGGTAGATGTGCCTGTGCGAAGACAGTTGAGGAGGTGAACATTTCATGTCTCTCATTTAATGAATTGAGCAAATACATTGACTTTTTTTTGTTTTTTTAATATTAATAAACATAACTTAGAATAAATTTTGATTTTTCTAGATCCAAATTTTAACTGTTTTTTAGAAACAGCGAATAAAATTAAAACAAATTGGCCTATGCACTTGTCAATTTAACACTAACGACATTATCCACAAACTAAAATCAACAAAAATCCGATTATATATATATATATATATATATATATATAGATATATATATATATATATATATATATATATATATATATATAATATAATCATTATTTATGTAAGAACTCTATATTTTTTTTTTTACAAAACCAACACCACCCAGAAATCTAATACTTGTGTCTCTGGCATCCACAATCTAATATCAACAAAAATCGGATTTTTTTATGATTTCTTTTTGTAATGTGCAGTTGTGCACATTTGTATTTTTTTTTCAAAATTTGTATGTATGCATATTTGAATATGCATATAACAACATTTAAATGTGTATATATGGACATTTATGGTTTTTTCCCGTTTTTTCAAGTTTTTGACCAAATGACTTAGACGAAGTTTTTAGGTTCGTATGGCGGTTGTGGATTTACAAAATTATGGATGGAAAAGGTTCTCTAGTTCTCGCGTATGTATTTATTTGACTAAACTAATAACTTTTATATATATATATATATATATATATATATATATATATATATATATATATATATATATATATATATATATATATATATATATATATATATATATATATATATATACACGATTGTGTGTGTACGTATAATCATATGTATAGTAAAGGGGTTCGCTAAAAAGACATCCAATTTTACTATATAGACACCCAAATTTAATTTTAAAATGTTTTTATTGGTTGAAATTGCATTATTTTTTGAAAAAACTGATTATAAGTAATTAATTATAGATTGACTTTTTATAAATGGATTAATGGGGTGTTTAAGTGTCTTACTTTGCCATCGGAAGATCTATTTTAGTTTTTATGGATAAAGAACGTTTAATAATATAAATTGCAATTTTCATTAGAACAGATTAAAAGACGAAGTGGGATTAAAAGCAAACACTTACCTATCAATTCTCTCTCTCAATCTCCTCAAGAATTTGACATGATCTTCCTCTTCAGCCTCAACTAGACTGTTCATTAACTTCGTATCCTCCACTTTAAGTTTACTCCCATCATGGTGGAGTTCTTTTTCACCAGCTGTATCATGCCTCCTACTACAACTGCTCAACTGCTCAGCCGAGCCGGAAGAACCACCTCCTCCGCCATTCACAGCAACCACTGCCACCATAGCAACTGCGCAGCGTGGCCTGAAAACTTATACGCTAGTTGAGGAGAATATATCTATATGTATGTATAGATATTTATATGTGTAAAAAGGTTAATAAGGTATAAAAACTAAAGATGCACCAAACCGTCATGTATATGCATATATATAAGAGGTGTTGGTGCATGAAGAGAGAAAATAGTGATTCTGAGTGAAGGAGAAAAAGCAATTTTATATAGGCAAGGTAACATGTCACTATGACTTGTGACTTGTGATATAGAAATTGGACTTGAATAGTCTAATATTGATTTTATATATGATTGAAAGAAGTAAGACCATTGATTATACCTAAGGAAGGTTAAGTGCCACTTATGGCAGCGGTGCATTTAATATGTATGCAAAAAGAAAGAACCACCGTCAGTATTTTTTTTATCTTTGATTATTTTTTCATGAATTATTACAATATTTACACGGGCATGTTATAAAAATAGGCATGTTGACATATGGGCGTTTGGTTCCAATCTCCATCTTGATGCAACAAGACGTACTAATATACATAGATGTAAATGTAATAGGTTGTCTCATTTATATCGCCTGTGTATAAGCACAGGAGAGGACAAGTCGACAGAATGGGTACACGTGTACTTTTATCATATGACAAAATAAAATTTACTCCCTTAATTATAACCTTATTAAATAATTATGAAGAGTAGGGACGAGTCGCCAGAAATGGGTACATGTGTACTTTTATCATATGACAAATAAAATTTACTCACTTAGTAAATAATTGTCGAGAGTAGGGACGAGTCGCCAGAAATGGAACTCGGGAGGATGATGACATATGAGTGGATCATAGTTGAATCTAGGTGCCGTGACAAAAACCTCTCAAATGTCTAGGAAAAGTCTGGTGCTATGACTATATGTGTCTAACATTTCAGACGAATGGAGTGACTTAAGCCCATGCATGGGTTGAAACAAGAATTTATAAACCAAGATTTAAAATAAAAGAGGTTTATATTGTAATATTAGGTTTAAACCCGTGGAAACCACGATTGGAAATAAAACATTATTCATAATTCGAAATCGTAGTGACTAATCAAATATTTGCAAGAATACAAAAAATTTAATTTACAAAAATAGAATTTTGTCCGTAAGTTTATAATTTTGTTTCAAAATAAATATATAAACAATTATGAATATCCGATTTATATTTTGTAAAAAACAAAATGGTTAGTGATATGTCTGGGAAATTAACGGTCTTTTTCAAGACCATATAAAAGAAAGTGTATAAACATGCTAATTTTAGTTAACAGATTATCATATTTAGATCACTGTTTAACATTTTTAAGAATATAGCAAAACCTTTACTCTTTAATTAATAAAATGGATCTACTTTTAGAGTTTTATTTTAGACCGCTAGGAGTGGGCAAAGGGAGTTGCCGTTATTCCGACGTGGACATACAAAAACGGCGTTATAACACCCGAAACACCGCGTCCCCCTTGCGTTATTAGGTGTTATGTTAACACATGTTATGGTAGTGACGGCAGGAAACGGCTAATTTGATTGGAACGTTTAAAAATTCGACTGTTTGCAAACAGTCACCAAAAAAAAATTGTTAATATAAATACACAACATTTTTATCTTCATTTTATCTTCCAAACCCAATAAATCCTTTCAACAATTACTATTCATTTCGATTTCATTTTTTTTTTCTATTACTCTATTTAATTAAAAAATGGAACATTTGATCCGTTCTATCCATACAATCATGATATCGACGAGGATGATATGTTTGTGAGTATGATGTATCAATATGTTACCGACATGATACCGTCAGAGGCAGCTCCGCTACTAACCAGACGTGCGGCGTTGAACAGAGATCGTGAAGAAGCGCATAGACGTCTACTACACGATTATTTTGCGGATAATTGTGTCTACCAACCAAACGATTTTAAAAGAATGTTTCGTTTGCGTAAAAAATGTGTTTCAACGGATAGCCAATGCAATGGAAAAATGTTTTAGCGACATGATACCACCAGAGCCAGCTCCACTACTGACCAGACGTGCGGCGTTGAACAGAGATCGTGAAGAAGGGCATAGACGTCTACTACACAATTATTTTGCGGATAATTGTGTCTACCAACCAAACGATTTTAAAAGAAGGTTTCGTTTGTGGAAAAATGTGTTTCAACGGATAGCCAATGCAATGGAAAACAGGTACCGTAATTACAGTTGTTTCAAAATTTTAATATATGTTTTAAAAATTTATTATTTGTTCTTTAGATTATTAAATAATTGTTTTGGAAATTTATTATATGTTTAGGTATGAATATTTCCAATTAAGGTATGATGCGAGAGGTAAACGAGGTTTTACAGGGTTGCCAAAATGTGTTGTTGCAATCAAGCTTATGGCTTTGGGGGAATCGCCCGATTCTATTGATGACTATATGAGAATGTCAGAGTGAACTGCACGAGAAAGTTTGTATAGATTGGCGAGAGGTTTTATTGAAACCTTCAGTGACAAATATTTACGCAAACCTTCATTGAATGACATGAAACAACTATATGCGGCGCATGAAGAACAACATGGTTTTCCGGGAATGCTTGGAAGCATTGATTGCACAAAGTGGATATGGATAAATTGTCCTGTGGCGTGGAAAGGTCAATGCACAAATGGTCATCTTGGATCGCCTTCGTTAGTATTAGAGGGTGTTGCGTCACAAGACTTATGGATTTGGCATGCTTTTTTTCGGAGTTGCGGGGTCTAACAACGACGTAAACGTTCTTGATCAGTCACCAATATTTCAGGACCTTTTGACAGGAAAGGCATCGGATGCTCCTTTCACAGTAAATGGCCATGAGTATAAGTCCGGGTATTACCTCACGGATGGAATATACCCACCCTATTCCACGTTTGTGAAGGCGTTTCGACACCCGATAGAACCAAGAGATAATTTTTTCAAGAGAAGACAAGAAGGAGCATGTAAGGACGTGGAATGTGCTTTCGGAGTTCTGAAAGCAAAATGGCACATAGTTGAACATGCGGCACGAGCATATGAGTTGGACACACTACGAGATATTATGTATGCATGTATCATTATGCATAACATGGTAATTGAAGATAAATGACGAAACATTGCGGAGTATTCGTCTACGGAACCTGGACACATTCATTTTCAACCAGGGACAATAGAATACTTACATAGAGTCGTTGATATTTAAGACCAACGTAAACACAAACAACTTCGAGAAGATTTGGTAGATCATATCTATGATGACACTGAAGTTGAGTAATTTAGATCGAAAATGTAATTTGTTTCGTCTTTTTTTTTTTGGATTTTAGGTTTCTAAATGTGTTTTTATCCTTGGTTGTAATTTTTTTTATGTTGTTTTTAATTTAGGATTTAAATTTTTATTTTTACTTTTTAAATGTTATTTTTAATTTATGATTTAATTTATATTTATAAATTATAATTATAAATATTATGACATAAATAAATAAAAAGAAATTCGAAATATAGAAACTAAAAACATCAAAAATAAAAAAATAAAAAAAATAAAAAATATAGAAAATAAGGGGTGTTATTACATGTTATTTGGTGTTGTTCATTTCCACATTTGGTGTTATAACACCCATCTATGACTAGGATGATGATGTGACATCTTTTGAGTTTGATAACATATAATAGCATGTTGCCCACACCCAACAGCCTTATAACATATTGATGATATTGAACTTAATTAATTTTTTTTTTTTGATGTTTTGTATTTTAGACTTTTCCATTAATAACGTTAATAACAGAAATTATACATAATTTACTGAAAAAGATTGTCATCATCGATTTATCATAACCACACTTTTCAAATGTAATCGTTCATCAATAATAAATAATCATTATTGTTTAAATACAAAAAACAAGCCAATCATTATTCCAAAAATGAAGTAAATCAAAAATCAAATTCACAAACCTTTAAAGTATTATTTTTAGTGTCTAACATTGCATAAAACTTTTTATAAACTATCATTTCATAGTAAAATAACTAATTATACTTTTCATTCTCTATCAAGTCCTTCTAATAAAGACATGCCACGCTTGTCTGGTTTTTTGAAATGTAAATTCCTCATATTGAACTAGTAGTAGTAGGTGCACAAATTTGTTTGGTTTTTATATATATGATCATGTGCCTATTGACTATACTGATGTTGTGCCTATTGAGTATTGACTGTGGATATTTGTGGCTAATGATTTTTTCCTATTAACATAGTTGGACAAATACATATTAATATATTTTATAAAATAAATTTTTTAAAGCTAAGTTGTAATTAAAATTTATAAATCTTCTTATAATTTTATTTATTGGATCTAGCCACAAAAAAATTCCAAGTTAAAAACTAAAAAGTGGTTGGATACAAATCGAAACCTAACAAAGTGATAAAACAAAATAAATCAAATGCAATTTTATTTATAACAGAAGGAGTGGACAAAATAAAAAAATTACAAACTCATATAGGTGTGTTGCTCTAGTTGTGATGACTGTACAAGCTCACGCTTTGACCATAGTGCAATAACACGCTTAATGACATCCAATAGATTGTTTTGATTTACGGTTTTGCCCTTGACTGTGGTATCAATTCATTTGAACTTAATCCAAATGAAATTAACATTCCATAAGCCAAAGTACGAACCTTGGAATATCCAAAAAGATTATTACTATAAAAAAAAAAGTAAAAAACAGATTACTATAAGAGAACATTGTTTGCATCAAACCATTTCACCGTAGTTCGTAAAATCATAGACAAGGAATCTCACGAAATTGAGTAATCTAACCCATATAAAAGAACAATTGATATAGGGATAAGCGTGGGATAGAATCGGTACCAACTAGCACCGTTCCCGAATTCCGAATACCGAATTTGATCGAAATTCAATCCCAAGTACCGTACCGAATGAACGTTACCGGTATCGGTATCGGGAATGGTACCAGTTTTCGGTACCAGTACCAGTACTAACGGTATCGAATC